ACTACGAGAAGCGAAGTGTGCACTAAATAGGAACCTCAAAATGGCCAGCAACGTTTTCTACGATCTCATCTTTCACTTTCGTTTATACAAGACCGAAGTCCTAATTTTTTACTTGTTTACGTTTACTTTACGAGCATTTGTTTGTTTGTTGTTTCATTTTCGTCATTGCAAAGGTATGGTAATCATAATTATTTAGGCCTATAATAATTACGACGGGTTTGTCGTGCTACATGGCACCGACACATTAGCATACACGGCTAGTGCATTATCGTTTATGATGGAGAATCTCGGTAAACCGGTGATAATTACGGGAAGTCAGGTGACTACTGAGTATACCATAGGTATTCCATTTGTACGCCTTGTATGAAATTTGATTTTACAGATACCAGTCGCCGAAGTACGTTCGGATGGCATGGAGAATCTCATAGGAGCTTTAGTGGTAGCTGGAAACTTAGACATTCCTGAGGTGAGCCTCTTCAACGGCACGGAGAAATGGTTCGGCTGTCCCTGCGGGAGATTCCGCTCCTTTTTGATCCCTTTGTTCTCACAATTCATGCTCAGGAGGACATGCTACTTGATAAGTGGATTTTAGGTGTGTGTTTACTTTAACAATAAATTGATGCGAGGAAATCGCACCATCAAGCTCGACAATGCAGCTCTCGAGGCTTTTGACAGTCCAAATATGCATCCACTTGCCAAGATGGATATCAAAATCAAAGGTTAACGCGTTCAAAACTGTGTTTGTCTCAGAAAATCTTCCAAAACCTCACCTTCATTTGGTATTATACTCTCACGATGTAGTGCAAAAGGCGCTGCTTGCAAAAAACGCAGTCCGTGGTTAACACATTCCGAATCGCTTATGAGCAAGGATATGTTGATAACAGAAAACGTGTTTTCGCAGCAATAGAACAGGAAAGAAAAGCCAGAATAATCAAACAAAACGCCACATAGGGGCAAATGCATGTGTGTGTCACGCGGTCCGGAACGTGTTAAACCCCATACCTGCGCACCCACGCCAACCAGGTCTTGCATCCGCCTAGGCCGGTAACTAGTATCAGTTCCATCTGGTAGCTGGAACATTGGTGATCTCCAACTCGCCCCTTGTTGTAACGTCGGCATGACGTGGAATGTATTAGTGCTTTTGCCATATGAGGATTTAGATGGGACCTTTCATTGGCCTGACGTTTCGACCTTCTCGTCTTCTTCAGAGGCCTGAAAATGGCTCGAAGCTTTTAATTTGTCACCTACCCGACCAAGACGCCTTCCCCACTCCAGCATTCCGACGTCGTGTCCCTTAAGCTTCCGAACAACCCGTTAGAAACTGCAAACAAATTACCGAAGGTTCCACCGTGCGGAGCCTAGCTTTCGCTATGTGTTAATAGGATTAGTCAGGACGAATGAGTTGCACTTCAGTCTCTTCGTGTCGCATAAGTCAAAACTGTCAACACCAGTCAACAACGATTTCTGCTTATGCGACACGATGAGACTCAGTCGAAATCGAGCCATGTCTTTGCTAATTCTACTAACACAGCGTGAGCTAGACTCCGCACGGTGGTACATTCAGTGAGTTTTTGCCCTTACTCAGAAGAGTTCGGAATACGACGTGAGAAACGCTAGAGTGGGAAAGGCGTTTGATCGGGTACGTGACGAATTGAAGAGCTTCGGATCATTTCCAGGCTTCCGAGGAAGATGAACAGGCCGAAATAGGCCAGTGAAATGTCCCAGCTCGCAACCTCGTTTGGCTGAAATACCAAAACATTGGTAACCTCTGACTTATTTGTAGGGAGGCTTCTTATAGCGTTTTATAGATCATATCAAACAATCACGACTCTGGCCGTGAGTGGAATGCGTAGTGCCTTCCGAAAACGGACAAGTCAACGTTGGAAACTCCATCCCACATTCTTCTATCCCCTCGATGGCGTGAGTGGCGGAGGTCGTGTAGTGACAAGTTTCGCGCTCACCACTCGCGCGGTCCAGGGTTCCGGGTCGATTCCCGCCCAGGCCAACCAAGCCTTCCAACCCCCGGACGATAAATCGGTACCAGATTAGTCTGAGAGGACAAGCGCACCTCACATAAGAACGCACTTGGGCATCGGCTGTCCCCGCAAGTCATTGTATAGGCCACATCGCATTCAATAAGCCACTACGATTCTGAATGGAAGTAGAATGCGTGCCGCATCCCACAAAGGGATTGATCAACGGCGAAGACTTTATCCTTTGTTTTATGGCGGGATATCGAACATTTGTTTTTTTTTCCCTGATTTCACAACACTTCTCTTCCCTGATTTGCTTAATTTTACATGATTGCTCATGATTCTTTTTTTCATGAGTGAATTATACAATTCTTACTTTCAGTGAACTATGATTCGATTTTCCGCAGCCCCAATGTGAATCCGTTCACCGTTCACGACAAACTTTGCCGAGATGTGGGATTGCTTCGAATTTTCCCTTCAATGAGCATTGAATCGGTAATGTCATACTGCACGTGTCACTTTTTTCTTGTCAATGTCGCCGGCATTTTAGGAAAGCTTTTGCCGTCATTCAAAATATTAGGATATTACATATTGATAGCATGAAAAGTTTCGGGAAGATCAAAGGCACCAAAGCGAAGCAACAGTTTGAATGGCTGTAGAATGGGACATTAGTAGTTGCCAGAGATTGCTGTATTTATTACTTCTCATCGGTATTGCTCAAAATGGAGTTGAAAACACACGAGCAATACGAAGGGTGTGTATAATGGCAGCAGAATCGTCCGGTGCAGCTGGTGGGCGTATCCTGCGACATACTCGCGGCGAGAAGGCGAAGCGTGCTTTTGGCGGTTTGAACAGGATTACTGAAGGGAAGGTAAATATTGATATCACCCAGGATCGAG